GAAACTTGAAACTCCAAGAGCCTTAAAGGGCGGACTCCTGAGCTCCGTAATGTCCCCCTAACATGGCACTTAGACTAATTCCATCATCCAGGGAAACACACCAGTAAATACACCTCTCTTTATCCGCTTCAAGAGCCTTAAAGGGCGGACTCATGAGCTCCGTAATGTCCCCCTAACATGGCACTTAGACTAATTCCATCATCCAGGGAAACACAACTTCAAAGGGGCTTCCTTATAGTTAATAAAGTAATTAAACAATAAAATGTCATATAACCTTATATTACCACAAAAGAGTCAATAAGTAATATTAACCCACTATTAAAGAACATTTCCTTATATAGGGCATTACAACCACAACAGGTGACCGAAACAATTCGTACTATCATCAATGACTATATTAGCTTACTAGGGGAATACTACAAGAGGTGTCACATCAAAGGGCCCATAGTCTTATCACCCCCTATTGAGCAACATCCTTATGAGGGGGGCAATACAACAACAGCTCAAACAAGTCATACTATCTTCATTAACTATATCTGTTTTTTTCATTGACAAATAATGACCTACTAAGACACTCTAACAGGTTTAACATCAAAGTGGTGATAAAGTCTTATCACCCCCTATTGTGCAATATCCTTATCAGGGGCTATAAACAAACAAGTCGTAAAAGATAAGAGGGTCAAAGATGACAGGTGCCACTTCAAAGGGATTTGGAGGGCGGGACTTAGGTTTATGAGGGTCATAAATCACTCTCTTATCAGGTACTTAATCTCATTTGGACACATATGGTAGTCTTAATACTACTCGTGTTACTGCAAGAGTACCTGTGCATATCGTCAGATATCTGGAATGTATTTATTGAGAAAAATGGATAATGACAGGATATGTTTTTTCTACTACCTAAAAATACATGCATTTTTGTAGGCCTTTCTTTGCTTCCATACTTTGGCCTCCACCAGACGCTGTGGGTTACAGCTGGACGAGCTGCAGGAAATACTGATCTTGGCTTAATGGGAAAGCAGCTGGAGCTAAAAATAAACCTGAACTGCAGCCAAATACTGCAAATACACTTTCACTGCTAAGACCAAGTGTCGGGGAAATAAATCCCCTTGAAACAGCTTGGTTTGCTTTGAGAGGGTCTGATTTGTGAATGGCAACTTGAATAGTGTTTAAGTGTTATTTCATCAGAGGTGGGGGCACACAGATGATTCACTAACATACAAAAGTATTTGCATCCAAAAATACTTGCAATCTTACTTAAAGAGGCCCTGTTTTGGTTTGTGGGGTTTTCCCTTTCCTGCTTGTTTTCCATGTTTGTTTGTTTTTGCATGTAAATTGTCTGCAATGGCTGAAATCTGTGTATATCTGAAATCAGCATAATCTATATGAATACAGGATAATGTATGATGATTTGTTCAACTGTAGACAAAACTGTAGTAGAAGTTGAAATACAAAGTTGCTTAGATATAGATACTCAAGTAGAATATTGTAGTATGTATAAAAGCCCTAACCCTAATCAGAATACTACCTAAGAACACTACTTGAGTTAATGTACCTTATCATAAGTGTAGTCAAAAGTGTTGAGATGATGCAGATAAAGTTTTGGACGTTGAGGAAAGAGTCTCCATGTAAGGAAAGAATGTTCTGTCTCTGTGGTGGGAGGAAAAGTCTGCGAGACAGTAGAGAGTGTGTGTGTGTGTGTGTGTGTGTGTGTGTGTGTGTGTGTGTGTGTGTGTGTGTGTGTGTGTGTGTGTGTGTGTGTGTGTGTGTGTGTGTGTGTGTGTGTGTGTGTGTGTGTGTGTGTGTGTGTGTGTGGTGTGTGTGTGTGTGTGTGTGTGTGTGTGTGTGTGTGTGTGTGTGTGTGTGTGTGTGTGTGTGTGTGTGTGTGTGTGTGTGTGTGTGTGTGTGTGTGTGTGTGTGTGTGTGTGTGTGTGGTGGGGTGTCTGAGGTGTTGATCATTCCAGGGAAGCAGTGCTGCAACCGTCCGTCTGACACAATGACATGATGTCTGGACACTCGGCAGCTGGATGTTGTTTTCCGAGCAGCTCAGCCTCAGACAGGAATCTCTGCTCACTGATTGGCTGTCAGGTCTAAAGTAATGTGCTTGTCCAGGTCAATGGAAAAACCTCAGGGGACACTTTGTGTTCCTGCTGCAGGACGTCTCTGCACCAAAGAGGGATAACATTTGAGGAATTTGGATGTTTTCAGAAATGATCTTTCCTGTGTTTGTTGGGACTGGCTGTAATCAGGTCAGCACATTCAAACCAGAGGAACGTGTCTCTGCCGTTTCCTGCAAGAGCTTCTGGCTTTTGCTTTGGTGTTAAGCACACGCCGACCCGTCACATGAGGAGTGTCACCACGCAGGAATGTAGCTTCAACACCGCCCGGAATAACTTGACATACCTACACCAAGGAAGGAATGAGTGGAAGCTACAGCAGCTCAGGGGAAAACAACAAACCCTGACGATGTTTACAGGCCCACTCATATTCCACCGTTTCT